CTCAGTTCGCCATTCACTTTAAAGATACTCCAATGAGGAGCGAGTTGTGTTTGCCAATTGGCATCTCTCCATGTCACGACTTTTAACTTGTCGTGCTAGATTAAAGCACGTCAGGTTTGGTATAATGAGGAAATGCAGTGATTTGCATTATGAAGAATTCCCAAGTGTCGGCCTCACTTTCTCATCCCTCCCCCAATGCACCAGTCGACAGTCCGCGCCTCTCTGCCAACTGGTGATGACATTGGCCGCCGTGACTTATGGGTTAGACAGCCCGTCCACGCGTACCACACGCGACCTAGTCCAGCACTTCATTTGTCGAGGGAACCGCTTCCCACTTTCGTGATAAGTGCATACTCTGACATTAGACGTTTAGTCCGCCATTTCGGCGGTGGCAAAGCGGGAGACATGGCGCTATGGGAGATAAAGTGAATGCGCGTGTTGTGTAGCAAACTCATATATGGCCCAGAAGTATGTGTGTAGGTAGATAGGGCGAGGTTTGGGTCTGAACTGTGTGTTTTAACGAAGACTTTCGTAGAGGCGCCTATGGCCAAATGGGCCACTGCGATGGCCGAATGTCCTGGGTCAGTGTCGACAACTGATGCAGTAGTGACGGGTGTATGTTAGAACTCCTGTCACTGGCCCACCGATTTCAATGCGGTGGACTCGCAAGCGGTCGACCGGTAAATGCTTGATGAAAAGATGCGATCTCACTGAGAAGTCGGGACTGAACTCGCAGTTCTGGCGATAGGAGCTGTGGTGATGATGGCTGGTAGGTAGCTGGAGTTTCCTCATCGGTGATGGTAGTGGATGGGAGGCGGGTTTGCCTTGTTCGCGATTCACCTGGTCCGAAAATTTCCGACAATGCCAACCCGTGCGTGGAATTTCTGTTAACTGTGCGGACATGTCAGTAGGGTTGGAGTGCTTAATTTGTTAGACCGCGACACCCAAGTCTTGCAAATCGTCCTTTTCGCCTTGGCAGTGTTTATCCAGTTGGTTTTGAGGATGACTGTTCCAACTCTTACGGCGGAGTGCTAAGCCAATTCCTTCTAGGATTTGAGTGTCAGGAGTATTGTTCTAACACCTCAGTTTTAATGGTCTCCGAGGGCAGACGAGGTGAAAATGATTGTTTCCTTGAATGGCTTACGTAAGAAGTCCACCTCTCCGATCGGTAAATCAGCGCCGTAAGGATGACAGTCGTGCGCATTCTCAGTTTTGTGTTGAAGATGATGTTGTGGCGCTTCCAGGTGGAGAACTGTGCCCGACTGTCTTTGGTGATCGGACCTGCAACGCTGACGCTGATCTTGATATTTTTTAAGGTGTACTTTTCAGGTCGACGAATTTGTCCACAGATATCAAGCGATTTCTATTCACATTGATCCTGGGTGCGTTGTACATACCACATGGTGTTGGTTGGTACATAACCACCGTCTTCTCCGTGTTTCTGCCTAGTGCGAAGTTTGTGCAGTAGGAGACAAAGAGGCTCACTCTCCTTTACACGTCGGCTTCAGTCGTGCTGTTGAGGGCATAATTATCCGCGAACGAGAGATCATGGATACCGGTTGTGGGGACTTGCATAGTTGTTTGCATGCGTCAGATGTTGAGCAACTGTCCGTTAGTTTGGTAGGCGAGGCTTATTCCTGGTCGTTCCTCAAGTTAGGCGTCCAATAACCCGACTAAGGACATGAGACTGAAAAGTGACCGAACGAGTACATTATATTGCTTCACCCTATGTGTTCCTGCGAATGCTTTAAAGACTGCTCCTTTGTCTATGATGCGGTCGTGGGGTTGTCGTACCATCTGCGTAAAAAAATCCGAACGCTCGAATTCCACCAACCTCTCCATACTTCACCACAGTTGACCGTATTGAAGCCCTTTGTAGAAGCCACAAGTGTGATGTGCAGACTGGCTTTCATTTCCTGGCATTGATATTGTAGTTGGCGGGCAGAGATGGTCATGTCGATGATTGCGCGGTTCATTTGAAGTCCATACTGCATTTCACGGAGAGGTCCTAACTCCAGGTGACGACTCCGGCGACTGAGTAGGACGCTGGGGATGGCCTTACCAGCGACTTTGAGGAGGGCATGTCTCTGTGGTTGTCACATAGTTGCAGGTTCCCTTGTCTTTGTACGGTGGGTAATGGTGACGTCTACGTACTTCTACTTGTCTTCCTATCTCCTAGAAAAATAATACGAATTTGCCGATTAACCGGGATCCGCCACACTTGTATATACACCATCCATCGACCGCTGCAATCTCCTGTGAAGGACCAGATAATGGTCTCCGTCGGCTTGGTCAATATTTTATTATTGATCGGAAAGACAGCGCACTTATTATTGGTCATGTTATGCCGGCCTACATTGATGCTGACAAGACGACACTCCCTACGGATGCTAAGCCGTTTTAATAGAAATAACTACCAAGACCTTGCTAACGACCTGGCAGTGGAGGGGCTTATTTGAGCCGAAAAGGTCAAACATAGTGACTTCCCGGCCAAATCGCATAACTATCTAGGCACTTCTCTACACCGTCATTCCCTCCCCCAAAACACCCAATTTCAGATGGTGATGCTGCTTGTAATGACCGATCTTAGATCCTGTTGAAAACATTAAGAGCACGGTGGACACCATACTGGTCTGTTTTTCACTTTTATTCCGTTCGGCGTCTGACGAAGCTATAGACTCGCACGGCTAGGCCAGGATTCCGCGTGCGGAGGATAATCACGCCACATTAAGCATTCCCAATACTCTTCTTGTGTACCCGACAGCTAAGCATGTTCGGACTAGCACATCAGCGTGGGTCGGTATATCCCAGAAGTTCGTGTGTCAGTAATCTAACGAATGCATGTTTAGGCAAATACGATGACCTAGGCAAAACGGCCTCAACGGTCGTCATTAAACTCTCTAATAGACCCTCACGCGCTAGGTACTTTAATATGCTGTGGGTGGTCTAACAGATAAAAGGCGTCAAAATCTACGAATAATTGCTAATCATTCGCAAATCGACACCAATGATCGACCCGACATCTATATTAACAAAGAACAACCTTAAGGGAACTGAAAAAGTAAAAGAAATATTAAAGGTAATATTTGGTTGCTTAAAAATGCCGTTTTTTCAGAAAATCGGAAAATTCTGAAAACGTCAGAAATGACTGTCATTCAGTAAACTTGATTTTTCCATGCATAGAAAGCCTGTTTATACAAAAGAATTGCAAAAATATGACAGTTTAGATAGAACAATGCCTGAAAATAGTCTTTTGGTGAAGCTTACATTTAAATGTCTTTTAAGAATTGGTATAATAGCTGTTATCTAGCAGCCTAAATTCTAAGCATAGATTCTAAAACTGTTTCCTGATAAAGCTTGCGTGTGAGCAGACTGATTTCCACGGTTAGCATCGGACAAAAAATCAATTTTCAAGTGCGGCAGACTCTGTTTAGTAAAAGGCTTGAGAGGTATTTACTCTTATCTCGAAGAAAAACACGCTTAAATGCACGACTGAAGTCTAAGACAGGTATGAGCACAGGAAACTGCCCAAATACATCGCAATGTCCATTCTCGCTTACATTTATGAACAGTTTGCCTGAAAAAATGTGCGGACACATTTTTTGCACAAGAGCAGTTACTTGAGGGACCTGAGAGCGTGATTATAAGGCGTCCGAAAATTTTCATATCAGATTCTGTCATCAAGTTTCATGAGTCAGGTCACGCACAAATTATTACTCAGCACATTGACTTCGATGCATACACGACTTGCTGGTCGTCCGCGTTTTCGAGGCAGTCTGAGAGAGCGTGCCTCCAACTCCACCACTAGCGCAGAAGATGAAATTTGAGCGCAGTCTGTCTACCCCTTACCAGCGTCGCAACCTCTTCTCTTGCCTATTTCGTATGGTTACGGTTTTCGTGTATTCATCAAAGTGCAGCAACAACGACATTCCGAAGAGTGCCCACTTTATCTTTAACGAGGCCATACTTATTAACCCCTCCCTCCATATGACAAACAGAAATATAAATCCTACCATCCTGCCCTTTCTGGTGCCTGTTCTCGCTGTTCAGTGCACAAGGCTAAAATAATCATCGACTTGGCTCCATGTAGATGCTGTGACGCACTGATGTCATGGGTCACCTCCCTCCCTCCGGTTTCCAAGGCTATGCTTTTCTGACTACTTTAGGCCTGCCGTACAGGTATACTCAAGTTGAAGCCCAAATAGTTTTGGTTTTGAACATCATCAGGTGATGTACTTTATAAGACAAGCACCATGACGGCTGAGCTTTGGAGTAATCAATCGCATGAGGGCGGTGAGCATTCTTTCTGTCCTGATAGCGGCATGGAAACCGGCATTTCCACTTTGTTTTCGGGCTGAGGACTTGCAGCCCAAGTAGGTATCCCCATGGTGACTCCCATTCAGTAATCAAGACATGATGGGAATCCGTAATTCAGTGATAAGGCCGTCCTTTGATGATCAGTTTATTCAGGTTTAAACTTTGGACATGAGATCTGAATCGGTGGCATCACAGGATGGTGACGATAAATAAGCCAGAACTGGTCATTCCAGTGTTCCCCACTTTGTCGTTAAAGTACGAGTTCGAGTGAGAATCCAAAACGTCAGGCCATTAAACTTCTTGTTCTAGTGATCGTTTTTTCTTCTGAAGGTACTTTCTGTTGTTGATTATTAGTCGCCATGGTGCGCATGGACGATGAGCGACTACCCAAACGACTCTTCTTCTTTGGAGACGTCGCGACGGGTTCTCGCTGTCAAGGAGGCCAGATTCGCCGTTACAAGGATACCCTGAAGTCCTCCCTGAAACGCCTGCAAATCAACGCCACCAACTGGGAGGAGCTCGTGCTCGATCGACCGACCTGGAGGAGGACAGTGAAGACAGGCGCTGCGATCTACGAAGCCAACCGCATCGCTGCCGCCAAAGCGAAACGTGAAGCCCGCAAATCACAACTGCGTCCAGTACGCAACGCCGCCGACAACCGCTTCCAACGTGTCCTCGATGTCAACGGACATTCCGGGCTCGAATCGGACTTGTTGGACATCTTCGGATTAACTGCGCCTCTCGAACGGCACCAACCATCGTCCCCCCGCCCGCTTCTTCCTCCTCCTCCTTTCCGCCGCCAACTAACTCTGACAATTCTTCTGACCCACCACTTCCATCCTCCTCCTCCCCCTCCTCCTCCTCGTCCACTGCTCCAACGGCGGCCGCTCAGGCGACTGTCACGCACGCATCAACCGACACCACACCCACTGCCTTCGACTCCAGCGACGAGGATCAGGACTACACCTGCCCTCACTGCGACCGCACCTTCACCTCACACATCGGCCTGGTCGGTCACCTGCGAATCTATCGCACAGCGACTGGCGAACCAGTGCCTGAAGCACCAACCTACACCTACCGCACTCGCCTCCACTGCCCACACTGCCCTCGCACCTTCAGGCATCGCATTGGCCTATTTGGCCACATGCGCATCCGCGAGAGCGGCCTTGACCGCACTCCCGACACACCCACCACATCCAACACATTCACCGTGCACACCCCCACCCTCGCTCCATCCGTCTGCGCCACCACCACCACCACCACCGCCTCCTCTTTAGCTGACACTGACACCGCCGACTTCTCATGCCCACACTGTCCACGCACATTCACCTCACGCATCGGCCTGGTCGGTCACTTGCGAATCCATCGCACAGAGACTGGCGAACCAGTGCCTGGAGAACCCACCTATACCCACCAAGTTCGTCTCACCTGCCCACACTGCCCTCGCACTTTCAGGCATCGCATGGGCCTATTCGGCCACATGCGCATCCACGACGACCTGCAGTAGACAACTGCCAGTCACACCACACATTCACTCACTCCCTACCTCCTCCTCCACCACCACCATCACCCCACCAGAAATCAACACTCGCACACTTCATGCACCCAACTGCCACCTCCCACGCAAGTGGGAAGTCCGCATCTCGACTCGGTCCCCATGCGGCTTCGGCTGCACGGGTGACTTGAGTCCTAGACTATCCCGACACGTCAAGTGTCGTGGATAGGAAGGTTGCTGATTGACGCCCGCTCTCGTTTCACGCAGTTCGTCGCGTTGTGTGTGTGTGTGTGTTGTGTGGAGTGGCGGACTGGTGGGCTGGGGACGGGTTGAAACAGCACCTTCCACGGCACTCTCACGCAAATGAGAGACACGCCGTTCAAACCCCGTTGTGTGAAATCCTGGTGTTGTGTGTATGGGGGCCAGGTCGTGCCGTGGCGCGCGTAGTCATGGTCAGTCGACCATGACAGCCACCGCGCCCATTCCCCACTCTAGTCTGCTGACCGGCTCGGACAGCGGCTGGGGTGTGGGAGTGGGAAGGGAGAGTGAAGTCGACGACTCAGCGCACTTCCTCCTCACTATAAACAATCTGACGCGCTTGAAGCTATCACGGTGCGCTAAAAGCCGTGGCTTGGAAGGTTGCCAACTGAAGGGGTAACTTGGACCTCCTCCTTGACTGGAGGCGGTCTGATAGTCAGGCTTCAATGGCTTCTTTTTAATGTGGCCTTTATGGCACTCCCACCACAGTATGGGATCCGAGCCAGGCGTTGGCGGCACGCTCAGGTGCGGCTTCGGCCGTGCCAGCCTCCAAATATCTGTTGTGTTGGTTGAAATCCTGGTATTTGTTGTGTGGACCAGGGGATGTGGTGGAACGCCTAGGTGAGGATCCGTCCGAGCCATCCACCTGCGGCCTCCCTCGTCTCCGGTCTTCTTGACTCTGTCTTGACACCGGGCTCGGGCGAGGGAGGAGGAGAGAGTGTAGGTAGATGCTACGCAAGTCTACCGGCACTATAAACCCCTGCGTAAGTCACCGTCCCTGCTCCCATTCCTGCTGCAACTGTGGGGCACACGGTGGACATCATCGAAACCGATGGTCGAACTGTCATTAGTCGCCATGTGATCTCTTGCTCATACTGCTGGGCCTTCGGTTACAAGGCAAAGTGGAACCGTAAATTTCTGCCCTGGAGTCAAGATAAAATCGACACCCGAATACGATGTCATTCAATATGCAAAATCCAAGTATTTATGGGATTCGCCTCCTGTATCCCCAAACATTGTCTGCCTTTGACAAATAAACAGCTTTATAGTTTCTGCACAAGGCTTGAATTTTTGTCCATACGTGAGGTTGTGATTCTGCTAAAGTGTAATCAGACGCCATCCCAGCGCACCTGTTCTTACTTAAAAGTGAAAGAAAGACAAGGATATAAACTTACCTTGTGGGATCCCAATAATTCACGACGAACTCGCCGCTGTCTCAAACAACAGGAATTTTGAGGTTGATCTCTTGACTGCTCCTTTTCGCAGTAAAATTCCGCTAGTCCTTTTTCCCCTAACAGCTTATCCTTTTGCCATTATTGCGCCAACTGCTGAATTCTTGTTGGCGGGGTGGTTCCTAATATTTATCTCAAACCCTGTTTTCCTTTTAGTTTGCGTCCCCTGGGTCTTGCTATCCAAACTCTTCACTTTTAAATGTTATCCACTTTTTGGATTCCGTCTAATAAAAGACCTCCGGTAGTAACTTCCACTTCGTTGGGTAAAACTTTTCTGCGACTTACATTCCGTTTTTGTTGGTTTCCGTGTCTTTGGCTTGCAAGTAGATGTTCCACGTATCCAGAAGCCAAGTGGAACATTTATTGCAGTGAAGTAGTCCTCCTCGCGCATTCCAACTCCGGTGATCGGGTTTCGATGCCCTATAAAGCACAAGTTAAGAAGCCACATTTCGTGCATGCAATAATTTCTGGGCCAACCGAATTTATTTTAAATGGCTGTCATAAGATAAGATGGCACTTAGCGGCTACAGAGCCTATTTGAAGGGGTATAGGCATTATTTGTGTCAAAAGCCCTACTTTTAGATCACTGTTTGATTCTTCATTCCCTTTCTAGAATTCTCCACAGAAATATATGTTTGTAAAAGTCAGGGATAACTTTAAGTTCTATTTTCACCTAATCAAATAAAAGACAGCAGCTTCCTAAGAAACTTGCTAGTCCTTTTGTACTGTAACATTTTTGAATAAAATAACTTTGTTTCGTTTTATTTCAAACCGTGTATCAGGTTGTTGCCTTGGTTTCGTATAGCTTTGTGTGGGCAGGAAGAGTATTCTGCACTTACTTGTGAACTCGGAATTTAGAGGTCGCCTCGCAGTACGTAGGGGCAGTGGTTCTTCTGGACAAAGCTCAAGTCTCAATCCCGTAGTAGCTATTGCATATACGCAATTGAGGTGAGTGATCGGATTCCGATTACCTATAAACGTTCAGATTATGGCTTTCGTTAATTACGGGCGGGCGTGTAAATAGACAGCAATAAGTATGATGATATAGGTCTAGGGCAGTTCGTAAATTAGATTTAAATAAGTTGTAGTATACCGTACATCAGAGTCTTTATGGCGCTCGATGAAGTGGGAAAAAATCTATACGCTCTCGTGTAACCAAAATGTTTTCTTTTAAATTATAACCTGTAATCGAGTTTCATTGTTAAAAACTGAACAGGAAAGGTTCTTTCTCATAACTTTCACACAAAGTCGCGAGCAAGATGGTCATTATGCGAAATCCTGTTAGAGGATGTTTGGGTGCGAACTGGTAACTCCATCACCTGTAGGCATATTTGGTCAGATGAATGTGACGTTTGCCAATCTGCCGGTGACTCCGCTTTCTTATTGGAACTCTCATGTAGAGGCGTTACAACCAGGTTCTACGGCAAAATCGAACATCTGTTTTCAACTTCTTCACTTAGGAAGGGAGACGAAGATTCCTCCCTCAGTTAATGTTACTCGAGTTACGGACGGGCACACACGTCCTTTGAATCCCTATTAAATTTTCCTTGGAAACGATTTGAGTCAAAAGAAGTAAAGCTGGATTTTTAGTCATTTCGTTTGTTCTATTTGGACATAACGGTGTAAAGCATATCTTCGTTGTACAGTTTTATGATAAAAGCTTATTTTGGGCATTATTCCAGGCATTTTTAGCTTTTTTAAAATACAACAGGTAACTTACCTCCCTCGACTTTCACAGGGAGCTGATCCACGTAGTTGGTTACGGTTACTGTAGTCTTGTCCTTCAAACATGTTCATTATACTTTTAGCGGAAATTAGAGTTAAACTCGGGTATAAGTACCCACCGTATTACAAGCAGCCTTGCTCTAAATGCCAGACGGTACTTAATCCTGTGTCCCAAGTTTGGCCCTGACCCCAACCCTAACTCTCCTCGCCCTAACTATAACTCTAACACTGACCCCTCCTGAAATCTAGCGTAAGGTCACCTGCAATACGGAGGCACTTATAACCGTGCCCTGCTGGAATTAGTCCTATGAGAAATTCTAGATCGCAAACTTTAGATAACCGTGACTTAACAACTTCACAAACTTGCCTGCACCTCCCTAGGAGACCTTGCACTTCGTTTTCCAGCTGCCTTTCCGCCGGTTTTTACAAAATAGTCAGGGCACATTTGTATTTTTCTTATGCTTGAGACGTACACTATTTTCCGTCCTTCTTACAGATCTCGTCATCTTTACCGACTTTAAACACTCTGGATACTGGCGACTGGCCTAACGACAGGACACACTACGTTAATTCAGCATTCGTAAAAGGGACCTAAGCAGCTCTTCCTACCGCAGTCTCTATAAACAGCTAAAAGAGCACACACACATGTTCAAATAAGTGAAACCTACATTGAATCGAATCCTTGGTGTTAACTTCGGCCGGCTGTGTCCCACCATCTTTTGTTTTCCACGTTATGGTGCAATCGTGCGATAGGTGATCTGTACCTAAAAGAAAACACTGCTTACTTTCAACCTTTAAGTCAAGTCTTATCAGGTGAGGTTTCCCTGTATTTAAAGTACTTCTTTCGGGTGAAAGCAGCCCCGTTAGTTATTAGAATAGGGAACTTCCCGAGAAAAAATGTCTTTCGCAGTCAAGACGCAGAACGTGAGCGGTCACACACATAGAAGTATAGTAAAGAAACGTGCGGTATTGAAACTTTCGAACGATAACCTTCAAGCAGTCAAGAATCCGGCAAGATTGCTCCTTAAGAGAGTTTGCTATTTCTAAACTATAGCGCCACATACTCAGATCGGTCCGAAAGTAGTGGTAAGCTGTCGGAAACGCTGGAATACATCTCATACTCTAAAGCCTGCTGTGATAGTCTGAAAGCCAGTCATCTCCCGGCCGAATCTGAGGATCTTTATGCATCTGTACTTCGCTGTATAAAGTCCACGATGTTCCAAACTAAAATGCAGTGATTTAGTACCTCCATACAGCAAAACTGAACTACAATAAACGTTGAAGAACCCTGTAGTGTGCTTTGAAATGCAAAGAAATCAAATGAGTGAGCTGGTCGCAGCGGTTGAGTGACCTTTCATCACTTCCAGCACTTCCAGAGGCACTTCGGAGGCTAGCACTTTCCAGCACTTCCAGCACTTCGGAGGCTATTTTCCAAAACGGGATTTAATCGTTTGCTGCTACATATCGAAGGTGACAGCGGATATCGGGGATAATTCGATCACTTTGCGTTAATGTCCTGTAAATTATAAAAGTTTTATACGTTTTGTTTGATCGTGATCACTGCTCA